ATATGAGCTTTGAACAATCATAGTAACGTTAGCTATTTTTATTAATACTTTAAAATCCAGTAATATTTTAACCTGATAAGTTATAATACTACTCGTTTGCCTTAAGCCTATGAATATTTTATTAAAAAATTGACTTTTGGATAAAATTAATAATTAAATATAATAAATATAAAATAGCTAACGTTACTATGATTGTTCAAAGCTCATATATAGTATACCTGATCATTTGCCATAATTTTATATAAAATAATTATTAACATTTTTACCAATATCTTTTTTTTATAAAAACAAATGTGTTCATAAATTCACATTCACTGCAATGAAATGTAAATTTTTAATTAATTTATTTTATTTAATTACAAATTAATTAATGACATATTTGTCCAATTATATATAAATTAAGTTGTAGTATATTAATAGAAAATATTCAAAATTGCGTCAATGACTTAACAGTAAATAATTCAATAAAAATACTAAGAGGTTTACACAAATATTTAATTGTTTTATGGGTTTATGATTCGTGTAGTAATCAATCAATACTTTAATCAAAAATAATGTTACTTTTAATTATAATAAATATATGTTTTGTCTTTTAATTCATAAAGTAATCAATAAATTGAGAATAAATTCATAAAATAAACAAATTATGAATTCATTTACAATAGAAATGAATATAAAATAAAAATTAATTTCAGAGATAAATAGCAATAATGACCACAAGAATGAGATCCAAACTCAGGGAACAGGTATTACGAGCGCCTGTACTCTCACTTCGCGGACGAGTGACTCGTGTTCTGACTGGTGGTCAGACCGGATATAGTGATGGGACGGGTAGTTGTGGTCGTGAAAGGAGTGCTATTAATACGACATTCAAGTGACAGCTGGCACACCGTCCCATTGATCGCACTCTTCCGTAAAGTGTCACAAAACTGATCCACAAATGGATGCCATTCCCCAGACAGTAGGCAATCCGTCGGTTATAATCACTCTTACGGTCCATCAACTCATCCAATGGTTGGCACTAATGGACACAAAAACATATGAATAGTCTTCACATTTGTCTCATTATAACCAATAAGTCATATAACAAGTGATGTCTGCATACATACCAGTGCTGTGTCCGTACAGATCGGGTGCTGTCTATCAATGGGTGGGTCTGTCGGGAGTCCGGCGTTCAGATCATCACAAGAATATAAAATCAAAGACAATAAAAGTATGCATTTTATGACAACTGAACTCATTGTCTGTCTATTAAACGGATCCCAAGACTGTCACTAAATGTAAACACAATTGAAATTCAGATAATTGTAAAGTTCTCTCAAAACTGACGGTTAGTATGAATTGAATTCTTGATAGCATTTTCAATATTTATGACAAATGTTGGCTAATCTCGTGATAAACTTATTAACAATTTATAAAATGAGTATAACTTATGACTGAGTCATTGAACTGTTGATCGCATGCTTTTGAAAGCGTTTGAAATTCCAGTAAATTAGTAGTGAATCTGAGTGTTGGTCGCAATCAGTGATCGGACAGCATATCATGGCATACAGACCCCCGAAGAGGCCGAATAGGAATGCCTTTCCTGTGAGTAATACCCAAATTCAATGCATTCCCAGTAATAATACCACAAATGGTTGGATAACAGCCACAACAACAGCAACCAAAGGGAAAGCCATCGAAGCGATCGAGTGATGACAACCTAACCGTTTCTATGATCAACTGCCGGAAGCCTTCAAACGGGCCAACCCTATCGCATCGGGAGGTGGCATCAGAACACCGCCGCTCAGTCATCGGCCACCCATTCCCGAAGATGCAGAGCCTGTGGAACGGGATCCGAACCGTGGGGTTAGAGCCCAACGAAGTGGTCCGATGGGCGCACCGGGAGGACAGACGTACGGTGGTCTCGACGAACCGGTGGGCCGCCAGCCGTGGGATATCACGGAAGAGGAGAAGCGACGAGACTTGGATTACGTTCATCAGGTGTATCTCAAGAGGCCTCAGTGGTGGAGGGATGAGAATCCGGAGCTGCCGGGGGGCGGGTTCCGAGTACCACCCCGTATGGACGCACCCCTACCCCCGTCTGGAGGCATAAAAGTGAGACAAATCAGTCCCAGACAGCAATGAGATATTCAAATAAAATATGATTTTTCTGATGCATTCAAATTGGCGTTCATTTCGTTTTTATAATGTGTATTCAAATTGAATTAGAAATACATTTAGCCATTCATTACAGGCTCTCTCTCTTCTTAAAGCTAACTCTTATAGTCTATCTTAAAGGCTATCCCATCGATCTATTTGTGATACTATAGTCCTGTGATGTCTCTCAACACAACTATACGGCATTAGAGAAGATTTGGTCCCTGGATATGATGCCGTATTGGGACAAAGACTTCAATGGATTGAGTGATCATAGGGACCAACTCATAGCCAAACAGTGTTCACAAAAAAGAGTAAACTTCTTATTTGCAGAGATTTCATACCAGAGGCAACTTCCAAATTGTTGTATCCGGGTATATAATCTGATTGCATATTAATTGTGTTAATAAATAAAATATTTAAAACCTAAAAGTGTACTCAAACTGCTTATCCACTTATCAATTTATTAGGAATGAGTATCATATCTGATTAGTTGTCGAAAAGTTAAATATTGTTAACCTTGAATGTAAAATTAAACATAATCATTTTGTCATTCATTTTTATATTAATTGATTGGAATTTAGTATTCTTTTAATTTTAAATTATATAAACTACAATCTAAATATTTTAAAAGTTTTTAATTATATAATATAATCTGTGTTCACATTAATATTCTAATAAGTAATTACATTATAAGAATGGAGTTCCCACTCTATACAGTCGATGCGTTCACATTAGACGGCCGACCTTTTACTGGAAATGCGGCCGCGATTTGTATTTTGCAATTTGATGTCAGTTTTATAACTCGCAAATAATAAGCAATTTGTTATTACATTCAACAAATTTTTTACTTAAAGGATGACATATCGGATGACATCAAACAGAAAATCGCCGCCGAAATGAATATCAGCGAAACGGCATTCGTGGCCAACGCCTGGACTAAGGGAACTCCAGTCGAGCCAAACAGGTATACGTTGCGATGGTTTACGCCGACAAATGAGGTGGAGCTATGCGGACACGCCACTCTTGCCAGCGCTCGGGCTGTCTTTGATAGGGAGCTCAAGAACTCCACAAACAATACCATTAAATTTGAGACCAAATACAAAGGACTTCTCGAAGCGGTGGTCAACTCGAGTCTGAATATAATAACACTTAACTTTCCTGTCAATGATTGCCAACCACTTGATACCGGATCCAACCCATGGGTTTCGGATGTGATTAAACATACATTGGGGCCTAACTTGAGTCCGGATCTCATTGTAGGGGTCGAGTACTCGTCCGGCACTAAGAAAGTGGTGCTGCGGATGAAGGATACGCCGGAATCTGATGGTGTTATCTATCAAGTGGTTCCCAATATCGACGAGCTCTTGAAGATTGATTCAAACGGCTTATGTCGAGGAGTATGTGTGACCCAGAAGGCAGAAAGTGTGCACTTCTTGTCGCGATATTTCTCGCCCTGGAATGGCATCGTCGAGGACCCGGTGACCGGCGCTCTGCACACAGCGCTCGCACCCTATTGGAAGAGGGAGTACAGCAAAATTGGTGTCCAATTGAAACAACTCATTGGTAAGCAGTGCTCCTCCAGAGGAGGTGTCATTATTTGCGAGATAATCGGAGATAGGGTTCAGTTGAGTGGTAGTACCACACCTGTCGTCTCAGGAGTCCTAACACTTTAGACACGAATTTATGAATTCTTAGATTTATATACACTAACAATTACCCTAGATTCATTTATCCAAAAGTTTTCCCAATAAACTGAATGTTTAGTTAAAATATTTTATTAAATTATTAATCAATACAATACTAAATTAATAAATTAAATTAAATCTTAATTATTAAGATTATGAATTCATTTTTGGAGGACATTTGTCCAGAAGTCGCGTTTGATTTGAAACAAACACGACATGAGTTTGAGTTTGCGGTTCACTTCGGTGTCCCCGCACACTATCGGACAAAATACTTGCACCAAGTCATCCAGGTTAATATATTTTTGATTGTCCGCTAAATGCCTTAAATGTATGACTAAGAAGGATAGAGTGTCTCTATTCGTGACATTCAGTTCGTTAATCAATTGCTTTACCATTGATTCCAATTCTTCGTCAGTCTTTTTCTCTAAAATAGAAAAATTATAAAAAATAAAACAAATTATAAACATTTGGTTAACGAAGACTCAACTCATATTATACGAGAACTGTTTCCACATTTCTCTCCCAATTAACGATTCATTAAAATCGTACAAAAACTTCTTAATGACTCCGCAAATGATATTAACGTTATACTTATTCAGCAAAGGAAAGCCGTTTTTGGATTTAATCAAATTATTGCAGAGATCCTTCACTTGTTTTAGTCCCTCGGAATTCATAATATAGAGAGTGTTTGGCAATATTTCGTGACACCTCTCCTCCACCTCTCGGATACAGTGTATGAGTATCGCCGGAACCGACGGCTTAAACATCGGATAGACGTAATTGGATATGAGTTTTGTTGGCCTCAGGTTGGGATTCACGTATCGAAGGCAGGGCACCGGCAGCTGTGATGAGCACGCCATGTGACTGATGGCAATACAGTCGACACACTGTCGGTATTTCTCGGCAAATTGGATACAATCGCCGCAAACATGACATATCTCTTTGGGAACTATTGTTTTCGTCACAAATGTATGCTTTCTTCTAGTCATAAGTCTTTCCAACACTGGGTTTACGTGAATTGCATTCAATTTGTGTATTTCTTTCAATTCAATTGGTCCCGGGTCTTCATTTTTATTTAAATCCTTGCATTCTTTTGATTTACTTTCTTTGATAAAAGGGTCTGTTGTCTGACTCTTTGACACTGGAATCACTATTTCATTTCCTTTGGCTTTAAATCAAATTAATTTTGTAATTTATATAAGAATTATTAAATTAATTATGTAATAAAATTTAATACCTTTTATTTAACGAGTTTTTTACAAACTCCTACTTCACTACTGGACAGCCACTAAACTAAATATGCGATTAAATGTTTGTCTAGTATTTCATTAATTATTTCAAGTATTTTTCAAAGTTGTGCCAAAATATATAGTGAGTTATATTTTATGTCTAATTAGTTAACAGATAATCAATGCCAACATTCGCTTCATTTGAATTAATGGAAAATGCATTCAATCATGTCTTATAATTAGCGAAACTAATCATTAATTAGTAAACTATAAGTCAAATGAAAGCAGAAAATTATTGATATTGGCATACGATTACAATAACATACTGTATCACTAATACTGTAGACTACAGCTGTAGTCTAGATTTTAAATTCATTAGACAATAGGAAGTTAAATGAAGTTTAATGTTTAAACCTAAGAATTCCTTATTTTCTTGACTATCACTTGGATTACATGTTTGTCTGTCATCCTCCACAGCAACACTTTTGTGTGAATTTTGAGAGGCATTTATAGACTCCTTATTAGTCAATAGCAATGAGTTATCATATGTTGGATCTCTAGTAACACTTCCAACACTCTCATCAATACAATCGCATTCAATGGAGTTATTCCTGAATTGATTCAATTGAATCGTTTGGCATTCAATGGATTCAATGATATCGTTATATTGATTGACTAATTGGGGCACAATTCCCACTTTGCTGTGCCTGAGCATCACTTTTACATATATTCTCAGCACAAAAACTATGAAAAATATTTATTTGCAACCGAATATTTTGCACATTAAATATGTTTCAACACTTTGCTCACTCGAGACCCACAAACAATATGAGTCTAACTATTTCATTGGCACCGCTTTCGTCCCTAATTTCTAATTTTAAAACTAAACTTTTTATTTTCATTTCCTAAACCTCTCTCCCGATGTCTCGATGTTTTCCTCTTACGTCACATGAAAACTATTTTAAGACTTTAAGACTCAAAGCGCATCCAAAACTGTGTTATGATATCGTATGAACACTGCATTTCAATATCACACACATGTGTATAGTATAGTAAACTTTCTAGAAATTTTAATTACCCGTAAATACTTGGATAAATAGTTTAAACATATGTTTTTCGGTGGAAATTTTGTGGTATTTTTTAGATTTTTTTACATAAGTGTAGCAAAACCTTGTTTCGCTCAAATGAAACCCATTTATGCGTTGAAAGCATTTTGTAATTTTGTCCGATTTTTGAATTATCGGTGTTTGCAATAAAATGATCACATATTTAGTCATTAAACTTAAAAAAGTAACTGTAAGTGATCTGGAGGTACAGTTCCCGATGTTTTAATAAATATATTACATATAATTTACAATAATCTCAATATAACCGTAATATCGATAGAAATAAATATGAATTTACAAACAAATGATAAATACATATAAAAAACACATTTAGCTCTCAATGAACACTAAAACCACTAAACACTTGAGTCCAAAGAGTCGGTGCTATCCTTGCGCTCATCGCTGATGGTGTCGGTGTCCGCGTTGTCCGCATCATCGTCGCCATCGTCCTCCTCCTCGTCATCGACATTGTTAGCCGACGTGTGGTTCAGTTGGCGACAGTTCTCGTAGATGTTGTCGCCGGTGGTCGTGTCGTAACTATTGCTGTCGTAGGCGTTGATGGCATAGTTGTCATCGCAGGTGAGGATCTGCTTGTAGTTCTGTATGGACTGCTGTAATGCATTCAGTTGTGACAACAACGACATGTCTAACTGTCTTAAGCCAATCATCTCGCGTCGAAGTATCGACAGCTTATCGTCCAGACGATTGTTCCCCATATTCTTGTGGTCGACCACCGCTTCCGCTGGCGATTGGCCCTCACTTTGCACAGCACTTCTCGGCTCCGACCGCTCGGTCACCGTTTGGTCCACACATTGGTCCGCACTTATTGTCAATGATTTGGGTAATGGAGGCAATGGGTGGCCACTCATGGCTCGCACCACCGATGGCTTAATCGATGCGATCGTATCGCTGATTCAGATGATAATCAACTGTCACTTCAAAACCTATTTACAAACACTTCCTCATCATTCAATCTCATGAGTTCATCGCATATACTGTTACCATAATTTGATGTTTTCTGAGACCACTCTATGGGATTCAACGCACACTTGTGTCACACTATCCCCACCACTAGTGTAACGCTGTTTGTGAGCGCTGTCTGTAATAATTCACAGCATCTGTGAAGCCATACATAACGCAAGCCTTGGATGTTGTGCTCTGATTGCTATCAACACAGGGATCACCACAACCGCACACAACCGGGGGTTTGCAATAAGCATAGCTCACTGATTGGTGAATTGCACCAAGCTACTGTCTCAAATAATTTAGATACAATGCTAGGCTACAAATGCGTGCAATTAGTGGTGCGCTGAGTGGACATGGATTGCGCGGACAGAGAGTGTGTGAGCGGTGGAAGTGGTGGTGAGGGCACTGACATCACAATCACGTGCTTATGGGTTGAGTCTAATGTTGTGTTGGTTTTGTTGACTACAAAGCGAACCATTGGTTTGAGTGATGGTTGCGATCAAAACAAACCACTGATTGAAGCGCTGAAGACATGCAGAAGACATTGACACCAATTGTGGTATAGTTTGCATCACATGTTGTTGTCCTCGATATGATTGTTGTTGTCTTTGAGTCACACTTTCGTCTATGAGATACGAAAACCATGTCTTCGTCGGACGTATTGTTCACTAAATATTTGTAATAAAAGTGTAATTTTGTTGTCATTTTCAGTGTAATTGTCGTATGAATGCAATAGTCGTCCCATAATTGCATTGATTATTGTGTTTGCAATCAATACTTGTAGTCATAATTGGCGTGAATTTGTTGCGCAAACTATTAGCGAAGAAACCCGTGATTTGGTCGTACGCTGGGATCAGTTGCAGTGATCAATGGCCGCGATATTGAGGACGTTTGGCATCAAGAAGTCTAAGCATAAGAGTGAGTCGTGTATTGCATTTGTGTCTCATTTTTATGGTCTAATATGTGGTGATATGTCCGCAGAACTGCCTGAAGAGTGGAGCGATTGTAAGGCACCAGTGATTGAAGGCATCACTTTCTACTGTAAATATCTGGGAAACACTGTCATCGAAGAGCCATCCAGTGAAGTGCTGACCGCCGAAGCCATCAAACGAATCATACAAATGGTTAGCAGTTATCTTGTATTTAGAGGATTTGTTTTCATGACTTGTGGTTTGACTTTAAGGCCAAAGCGAGTGGAAAGAAATTAAGACACGTATCGATAAACGTAAAGCCCATTGGCATCAGCGCTAAGGACACCAACTCCGGGGACCAGCTCTTCAACCTATCCATCTATCGGTGATTTATCTCATCTTTTATTGACTTTTCTTTTTGTTTAGCATTCGTTTTGTGTATTAATTAATTTGTTTTGTCGGAAACGATAGGATCTCTTACTGTTCAGCGGACGCCACCTTTGATCGCGTGGTGGCCTTCATAGCGACCAACGCTAATGAGACCCACGAATGTCACGCATTCCTGACCCCCAAACGTAAGATAGCGGAGGCCATGGCTCTGACCATTTCGCAGGCGTTTAGTATTGCTTTCGACAAATGGAAACAAATCTCAAACAACGCCGACCACTGCCATAAGAGCGCCGCCAAAGACGCGGAAAACGGTAACAAAATAACGGCGAAAGACGATAAGAGCGGTGTTGGCGTCGGCGGCCATCAGTCATTCGTAGACCAGCCACTCATTGATCTCAATAGTGATGAGAACGTCCGGCCAGACAGACCCTCCACTGCCAGCTATGGCTTCGATGACAACTTTTTCAGGTGATGTCCATTCAGTGGTTGTTGTTTTGGAGATTAAATTTATTAATAGTTTTTGTTGTGTTTGATATACAGGTTGAATGAAAACAAAGTGATTGGACAGCAGTTATGCAATAATCTGAATCTCGAGAACTTTGAGAAATTACAAGAATTTGTCCGAAAAGAGGTGACTGAGAGTGAGAACAGCGAAAAGTTCTTCGCCGACGACGACCTCTTCTCGCTGTAAATAATAGATATAAACAACACGTCTTTGTTTGTCTCAAAACGATTGTGACATTTGTTTTTAGTTTATAAGAAAGTTTTGTTCATTTACTTAATCGCGTGAATATTTGATGCATTTATAGACACAGTTTTTATTTTGTTATACATTTTATTTTATATTTTAACATATTTTGGAAATCATTTTTATCTCTCGAAATCGTGTTATTTTTCAAATCAAGTGCCGAAACAAATGTCTTATTTTTTCCGTTTGTTTCTAATGAGAGGAAATGATTCGCAGAATTGATTTCCGCTTAAGTTTATACAAAAATCTTTGCCAACGAATGAGTGCTGTAATGATATTTTGCAAGAATTAAAACGATTGTTATAATTAATGCTTAACTTATTGTTAAGTTTTCTCTTATTAGGCTAATAATTGAGACGTTTTTTATGCATTAAGTTTTGCACTAAATATTAATTGCAATTTTAATAATAAATCTGAAACTGTTTGTAATCTCTTTTTGCATTCATATAACATATTTCACACCTCTTTTTTAATCTCTAATGAAAATTGTAATGTTTTATTCATTCATTTTTACTTACAATAAATGAGAAGTTTTTAATATATAATAAATTTGATTTATGACTACCAATACGGCCACTAATTGTTAATATAATTAGTCATTAAAACAATTAAATGTATATAACTTAAGTACAGTAACTCTTACATGTTAGTAAGTCTTAGTTTCCGAGTCAGGCATTAAAAATATAGCATTACATGAGCTAAACCTTAAATAACTTTCTCATAACTAGTTCTCGTATTACGTGTAGAAATAATTTTCTGTTTCAATAATGAGTTATAAAAATATAATATTTTATCTGATATACAAAACCAGTAGACATGATCTCACGATTCGTATGAATTCATTGAAAGGTTATGTTAAACACCGGAAACATTTTGCGTATAATTAATGAGAGGTAAGCGGCGCGTGAATTGCATTTTTTCACAGCTATTTAGCTATTCATTAACTGTGAATTGGTTGTGGGATTCAATAGCTCAGGGACTCATAAATAAAATAAATATTTATGTAATTAACTTTGTTTCTAATTAAATAATAATAGCTATTTTAGTATTTGTTTGTAAGTTTAATCTGTTTTGAAACATGATTTCAGTTGTTAGAAATTTGATAGCAATGGTAGCTTTAAATTGTTATGATACTTATCAATTCTTATCATGGACAATAATTATCGAAAAGGAAACCAAAAGTTTTTACATTTAATTATATTATTCTGTGTAATCAGTAGTTGTATCGATTCTGTACTCATTGTGCAGCATGCTTAATGTTAACCGGCTTAAATTAACTTTTAACTAAATTGAATTAAATATTAATTTGTGATCTTTATTTTATAATATACTCAAATATGAATTTCATTAAAGTTATTTAATACAGTATTATACTCTTATAATAAATTAGTAATTTAGATACAGAATTTGTGGAAAACTTAATTTTTACCCCGAGTATAACTTCGAGAACCTCTTTTCTATATTGAATATTGAACCTTAAGGTAAGTATTATTAATTTAGAAAATAATCCAAGTTTTTTCTAAACCAAAATATAATACTGTATCTTATAAATGTTAATTATTGACTCTCTGCTAAATTTCATATATAATAAATCACGTAATATATAGATTCTATAGTATGTCTAAAAATAGACGTGTAAATTAATCAACACTTTGTATTGAGAAAAAATTTTTAATTATTGTATTATAAATACATATTTCAACAATTTCTAAGAATTTAACTTTCAAATCTATTTAACATTTTAATTTAAAGCAATTACACTGGTTGACTAGCAAAGTAACTGTTAATATCTGAACAGCTTTATATTCCAGGCCAAACTCGCGGACCTTAAAAATACTTATTTACCATGATAGTTTATGCCTATTAGAAACATAATATAAAGTCCCAGCTGCTTAATCCAAAAGGTTGGCCAGAAATAGTTGATAATAAATGGCCCGAAAGCTTACGGATTGCATCAAAAATAATTGAATGAATGCTTGAATAAAATGAATGAAAAGTCTAGTTTTCATTCATTTTTAGTGATTAATATTTATTCAAATTTTTTTTGAAAAACATTTTTTTCTTTAAAACTATTAATAATCTAAATATTAATCATAAATATTGATAATAAAACACATTTTTGTGTCCATTTTGTGTGTAATAGTAAAGACAATATGTTATATTTGAAACATTTTTTTACAAATCATTAAAATTGGTATTATATTACCCGGAATAATCAATTGACTGTTTTATAGGACTTATTTGTTCACAGCTACTATAATAATATTGAAATTTTATGAATGTTTTGTTAACGAGATTATTGTTAATTAATCAAATTAATGTTATGTTAAGTAATGTCTAAATAACAAATAATTATTTTGTTTTAAAGTTAAAATAAAAATGTTTTTCAAAAAAATTTGAATAAATATTAATCACTAAAAATGAATGAAAACTAGACTTTTCATTCATTTTATTCAAGCATTCATTCAATTATTTTTGATGCAATCCGTAAGCTTTCGGGCCATTTATTATCAACTATTTCTGGCCAACCTTTTGGATTAAGCAATTTATGCTCATCTCTCGGAGGCAGTGGTCTGTGATGTTCTAGAATAGGGTATCCCTTGGGAATGGAGTGGTGTTTGTCTGAGTAGACGGGCACTTGATTGCGGTCTTCGTATGGTCTCATATGAGGCTGCGATGCATATATGGGTGCGTTTGTGTCGCTTTGATATGACAACGAATTCAATGGATTAGTTGAGTATTTATTTGGTGAGGAGGAGGGCTGCCATTGATGGCCCTCTGGCTGTTTGTCCAGCAGCTGTTGCTTCAGGAGATTGAGAATAGTTGGTCCCACTTCTGGCGATTTGACCGCAAACTTTCTGGTATTGGGTTGGGGTTGGGGTTGGGATTGAGGTGGGGATCGGTAGCCATGGGGTGGGGGTTGTCGGGGAAGTTCTTCGGGCTGGTTGTGCTTGTATTGCGACAAATCGCCAAATAATTCCGATTTTGGGGGCTTATTATCGTGTCGTATCTCATAGACGTATGAATACTGACAGTTCAAGCATTTGGCAAAACTTAATATTCCGATAATTAGATATAGATTTCTCATTTTTGTATCATGGACAGTTATTTTCTGTTAAATATAAACTTTGTAATTAAATATATAAAACATTTAATTTATAATAAATTATGAAATTAAGTAAGTAAATAATTTTTTTACAAATAACTTACGTTAAAGTTTGTAAACTTTTCAAAAACTTGGAAATAGTTGAGTATTTGTGAAGAATTGTATAGAAAGGCAACAATAATTCAAACTTTTAAACTCAATTTCAATGTGAATAAGTGTTTGTTTCACTTGACTATTGTTTTAAACTCCTAATGAATTCAACGATGGTTTGGCACAAAAAACTTCTTCAATAAGACTGTACTCATGAGATGATTATGTGTTTGTGTTTATAGTAAAAGAGATCACTTTCTCAGATCACGAATTAGTTCAGACTTTTTAAGTTGGTTGTGAATTATTTAAACAACAATCGACTCATAAATATTAGCATTATATGAGACATTGAGGTTTGTGTGGATTTATTATAATATCTTAAACTTAATTAGATTTAAGTCGGGGTTTGTGTCTCACGTGATCACCAAAGTGGAAGTGGTCTTTCAAAAGTGGAAAATTAACTTTTATTAATACAAACATTTAGAGAATTGAGAGAAAATAACATTTTATAACATTTACTAACATTTCATGATTTGAATCATTTTTTTCATTTGATGTTATCTTCAAAAATGCACAAAAAATAAAAGATGAAAAAATATTTGAATATAAACTATGAAAAAGAGAAATATAATGATCTCTTTCTTATTGATTTTTACTTTCAAATTGAGATTAATATTAATTTAGAATAATTAATAAATTTTTATTCATTTATTATAAATAAGATTTTATTTAAAAATCTTATTAAAAATAAAAGTCCGAATTAATGCATACGATTTCCTGGTTATATAATGCTCTCTCTCTCTCTCTCTCTCTCTCTGCTATTAAAACAATACTTAATAAGTAAAAGTATATAACTATAAAGACATGTCGTTCCACCCATTCATTACTTCATTACAACTGACCCTTACCTTAAGGCAAAGTGACATAACTTATCATCAAAAAAGACACGATAGAGCAGCCAATGGCTAATGATATACTAATAACAGTGTCGGGCCTTAAGTATTTGATAACACATTCCCATTTGGCACATTAGGCACAGGTATTCTCACGCGCTTTCTTACCACTTGTTATACACTTGTATAATATCTCTTTGTCTTATAACCAATTTTATAATCACCTCTACTATTGAAACATCTAATCATTAGTGCTCTGCAATTGGGTCATCACTGCGACGGGTCATCACTTCCTTTGGGAACAGCTTTTCACTCATTTCTTACTAAATGAAACGTTTGACTCATTTTTTATTTGCTTTTACTGCCATTTATTAATAGCATTCAATCGTTAATTAATCAAAAATAAGAAAATTACCCAAATATGCACCAAATATTTTTTGTTTAAATCCGAGTAAAACTTATCGAAAGTCATTAAAAAAATAAAGTTAACTTTTAACGCATACATGTATTAATGTTTTATATTATATATGTTTTTTGTCAATTCATTTCAAATGTCAGACAAATCTGATTACAAGAAATACTTTTTGGAGTTTGAAATTAATTAATTTTTTAAATTAACGTTTAGTTTAAAAGTAAATCCTAATTAAATGACATCAAAGTTAAAAATAATTCTGTGTTCACATTTATTTATTTGTTTCTTATCTTAAAATATAATTTTATTATTATTATTGCGGGAATTAATTAAAATTAAAAACTAAAACCTATTACAACTTATATAAATAAAATAGTTTTGGTGAGAATAATACACAATAATATCTGGAGTACTGTATAATTAATATGGTATTAGAGATAAGTTTAGTAAAGTTATCTGATGTTACACAGCATTATTATATACAATATATACACTTTTCTTGTTATGAGAATTACTGGTTATTATTGTCTTAAGGAAAAGCACTATTTCATAATCTGATTTCAAA